GTGAATGACGTCCCAAGCCCAAGCCCTCTCTCCACTGGACATGAAAAAGAAACAGACAATGATGAGATACAGTGAGCGGGTGATGCCACCTGTATCCACCACAACACGCCTGAGAGTCCTCCAGTAAACAGCATTAGATGGCAAGATTAGAAGCAAGGTGGTGGCAAATAAGATGCTGACAATTAAAAAAAAATTATCACCAATATACAGTAAATATAAATATTTCCTGCAGTCAGGTCTTTCTGTGATGGTGACCTGCTGTTCCCTTCCATTTTGCCATGTGAATAGAATCATTTTTTGGTGGAAAAATTGGTAGAAAAGCTAAAAGTATCTGAATTATGTTTAACAAGAGTAAAGATGAGTGAGAAGTCATAAAAATGAAAATAAATGTATGCAGACCCAGTTTTGGAACCACATGTAAAACATGCACTTACAGCATAAACGTTTGCTAACCTTTGCTCAGTTTACATGGAAAGCAAATAGTCCAATAATTACTTGCAATGTACAACAGATAACAGTAGCCATATAAAGGATAACATACATGTACAATAAGCATTACAATCAGTACAATACGATTAATATAGCCATTAAACTTAACTTAAAGCCACCATGTTTGGAGCTTTTAGCTACACTAGCAAACTAAACTTTCATGAGATTTGGAGCAGCCATTCATGTTCCACAGAGAAGAGAACCTACTGACATTATCGCTTGACTTTTTATATAACATTCAGCTGTACCTGTTTAAGTATAAAATTATCTAGTGAAATGTCACCACACTTATGAGATGGATTACCATTAAAGTATTCATGTTCCCCTTACTTTTTGATGACAAACTGATCCCTGGGATTTTTCTCTAGTGCCACCATCAGGTCACAATTTAAATTTGTTCAGTACTTTATGACAATTAAGTGCCCACTAAATGACTTTCCAATCATTCTTAGCTGTACTTTGTGTTTAGTGCTAACTTAGCTTTTAGTGCTAATTAGCAAATGTTAGCACACTAAAACACCAGCATGCTAGGTTGTCTCTGGGACCATAGTAGCTGAACGCACTGCTGTGCCTCACCACTAGCCAGTCCTGTTACTGTATTTGCTTATAGCATCTTCAAAGTAACTTTGAGTGCGCACATTTTTGTTGTAAAAAATAAGCCAATGTCTAGGAATATTGGTATTGGTATGGTAACAAGAACCGAAGACCAACAGTATGGTCCATAAGTTACTTCATTATTCCTGGGGATTCAGATCAGGAGGGCAGGCTGGCGGTTGGACTTCCTGTCCGCTAAAGCGTTGTTTTTGAAAGTTAGAAGTTTCTAACTCACAGAGAGTGGCAGAAACAAGAAATCCTAGATGAAAAAATTGCACCCTTTGAAACTTGGCATTGAGACATATGATGGAAACCATCAGTATAGAAGAGGAAGTCGTGTCTAAAAAAGTGATCCGAAATCACCTTCATAAACATTTTAAATGATCAGTGCATCATCGTGGTGCAGCTACACTTCTGGAATGATCACAAAACAGATACTGTGAAAATTGAGACTCACCCTGGATTTAGGACGAGGAGAGGAAACCTGAGAAACACCAAGCAACAACAACAACAGAATGACTGATTACACAGGGCAGGAAAAATCTCTGTTTTGCTATAAACAATTGATTGAGCGCTGATTGAAATTTACCCACAATTCCACTTTTATCAGTGTGTAATGAAGGAGTCATGCAGCTTTGTAATCAGAGAAGGAGAGGGGGAAACAGTTAGCATGCTGTTTTTGAAGTGCTACAAGAGTTAGAGCCACAGCAAATCAGAGGAAAACACTGACAATTCAAAACTCATACACTATAAAGTGGAGGAAATTGATTTGTTCTGTGCTCTGACTCATGGCAGTTTCACAGCAGTACAGACCTGAAGCTGAAACCTAAGATGTTAGCATGATGCAACAAAAGATGACTTTGTGATTATTATCTATGGTATGACATGTACAATATCCATTTTGAAGCCTTTAATCCAAGAAACTTACAATGCTCCTGAAGAAATGCACCACAGCATTTTCATGGGCCCGGCGGCGAGTGGAGGATTGCTGCGGTGAGGAGGCCAGGTGACCCCGGAACGACCCCTGAGAGCATCAACACAGGCCAAGTAACTTCTCACAGTACATCACAAGATAACACTGCGCTCATATAGAATTGGTTTAAAGCACCATGTAACTCGGCAGCACAGAAAATCTCTTTACACAGTATGTACATGATGGAGTATCCTGGCATGAGTGTGAGCTCTTTCCCGAAAGTTCAATTCCTCATAATATAATAATTATATTTATCACAATAATTAAACAGTTGAAAGGCCCTGCTGGATATAAAGTCTCACAACATTAGAGAGAAACAAAAAGAAGTAGATGTGAAATACAAGAAAGACTAAGACCATGATGAAAAATCCTCAGTCTGAATCATTGAGGAATGTATCAGATGGCTGACGCTGTCTCTCAGTGTGTGAAACCAAACAGATCTCTTTGTGGGTAAATGAAAAGTGCAGCTGACACAAGCTTCACAACAACTTCACACATCTTTACTCTGACAGCTGATCATACTGTTCACTTTAATTCATGCATTCAACTTGTCTTTATGTTAAATCAATGCAAATAAAACTGAATCTTTTGTAGGTATGAGAGCTTCTATTTGCAGTTTTCTGTTGCAACTGTGCAGAGTACAAGCCCTAAACAATACGAGGGAACGGATCTAAGCACAAACAACAAATTGCATCAAACTTAAATTTCTAGGTGTCATAGTTGATGACAAATTCTCCTGAAAATCTCATATCAGATATGTACAAAAGCTCACTTCAACCATTGTATATATTACAAAAAAGAGTGATAAGAATTGTGCATAAGATGGGGTATAGGGATCACACCAATGTAGCTTTCATACAGTCTAAATTGTTAAAATTTTTTGATTTAGTGGGATATAAGACTGCTGTGTTTATGTATAAAGCCAGGAACAATTTATTACCTGGTGGAATTCAAAAACTATTTAATGAAAGGGAAGGTGGATACAATTTAAGGGGTCAGTTAAATTTAAAAATTCATGCTATACGTACAACCAAAAAAAGATTTTGTATTTCCATAAGTGGGGTAAAACTATGGAACAATTTAAGTGCGGACATAAAAAACACTAAGAGAATTGATGAGTTTAAACATAAATATAAAGGTATGTGTCGATCAGGATATATGCAAGAACAGGCTTAATGATTAATTAGATGGAACATTGTGGGTGTGGTGTATGAATGTTAATACTATGTAATAATTCTTTAGTATATTACTTGTGTGGTGTAGAAGAGAATTATCTATGTAGAGATACTGCTTGCAAACCAATGATGGTAAGATGATGTCATGGGGTAGGACTGGATAAGTCTGACTTCTTCCTACTCCATTCAAGCATGTACTGGGTATAAGCAAATTGATATTGGATTATGTGTAAAATTATGTGTGTTGTCATATCAACTGTCTTTACATGCTTGAAAGAATAAATCAAATCAAATCAAACTTTGTGAACGAAAAAAAATCTGAGATGTGACATTCTTCTGCTGCACTTACTGACAGATGAAAAGGTCTGACAGCAGCTCTGACTCACCAGGGCCTCTCTCACCACACACTTCAGGCTTGAATCCCGAAAGAGGTTTTGTCTAACATTTTCTCTCTGCAGGTCAGGGCCAGGCTGACATTACAAACTAAATCCATCTGCACCATGCTAGCAATATGCACATGCACTTAGGCCTGTGTCCCCCTCACAGCCTCTCAGTGGGTTTGCATTAGTGTTGTTCTTGTGCCGCGTTGGATGACTAAAAATAACAGCATAGGTACAAATGGTGGAACAAAGCTAATGAAAGGATTTAGAATATAAACAAGAAATAACAGCAGATTACTTTTTAAACTGATGTCCAGAAAAATCTCTTTATTTTTCCAGAACATGCTGCTTTTCAGTCATGTGTATAAACTGGAAAATTGCCCGAACTTAAAAAAACAGTCCTCAGTAGAATAGCACCAGTCCAAGCACCGGGGAAGTGAATCAGCACCATACTTCAGCAAAATGTCCTTTAAACCCTCATTTTAAAAAGCAAATTTCTCATCTCTTTCATCAACGCCATAACTGCTGTGACTGAGTTTGAGTTTCAGAAATTGGAGTTTGAGTTTTGCCCTTTTATTTCCAGCAAACTCTGGATAATAATCCTCCATGATGGTTTTTATTCTGTTTTCTTTCTGCTGTTTTATTCTTTGTCTTTTGTACTTGTGAAATACTTTGGTCAACCTGCTGTTGTTTTAAAGTGCTATATAAATCAATTTTGATTTCATTTGATTTGAATTTCTATGAATAACAGAGATGATCATTTATATACTGTATGCAGTAAAACTGAAAGACCAGAAGTGCAGACAAATGTTATCAGACAAGCACAATGTAGCACAGATTTATAGTAATTAAAGTAATTTTGCTATTATTTATTTTTATACTGTTTTTTCCCCAAATATATTTAAGTTAACAATTAATGGGACACTGGTAGAAAATTGGTAGAAAGCTGAAAATTAAAAGAAAAATCACTCTGAACTGTCTCTTTAAATGATGCATGGATGCTCACCTTGCTCCTTTTCTTTTTGTCTCCACCAAAGAATTTGCTAATCTGATCCATGAGTCCAGGGTTCTTCTTTTTCCTCCCGAGCCCGAAGGTGCTCTGCCCTGAGGTGCTTGCCGTAGCCATGCTATCTGCTGCTGAGGTTGGGTGGGGTTGACCTTTGTCTGTCTCCTCGGTAGTTCTCTTCAGTCCTCAGCCTACAGTGCCAACACCCAGCTCTGCTCGTCCTTCAGGGTGTGTTGCAGCCTTTCTGACACTCAGGGGCTGTCTTTGAAGGTGTCGTCCTCTCAGTCCTGGGGCACCATGGGACATGAGGAGGGTCAGGTTGGGGAGGGGGGGATCTTACAGCAGTGTGATCCACAACTCTGGATTGGCTCCAGGCATTCTTTGGAGCTTCAGTGGCTGTGTCAGTCACTGCCGCCCTCCGCATGGGCCCGGCCATTGTTTCTCTCCCCATCTGCCTCATCCCGACCACAGGGACAACAAGGGTTATCTCTGAGTCTGAACTCACAGCCTGATGCAAAGCAGCCTGCTGCTCTGTGAGGCCATTGTTGAACCTGCCCCATAGATCTTCTTACTGGATTGTGTTTAAATTAGACGTACAGTCACCCAGATTAACATAGGGATAGGCCCAGGAGAAAGGAGAAGCTTGTGTGAAAACCTTTGAACATGAGCCAAGTATCTGTGTCTGCACAGTAATTAAATAAACTTATGTGGACTTTGCATGATAGAAATTGCTCAATTTTTGTTTTCATGTTGAAAACTATGATATCCGCACAGTTCCAGCTATTACTGCAAATTTATGAGCAGTGGAGCTTCAAAAGTTGCATTTTGGACTTGAAAAATGACAAATTTAACCAAAGGTTATGTTTTGCTGCAATGCTAGTGGAAATATGTTGGCTGCTGAAGACTAATATAACGCAAAAATCCGAAACCGTTCTAATGTGCAGGAAGAGCAGAGACTACATGAATGAATGAAGTGAAAAAGTGAGTTTAAAAAGTCAGGAATGTGAACCTCAGTGTTTGTTTTATTGTGACAACACTTGTTTAAGTGTCTTAGATGTTTATTTCTAAATCTCTGCAAATGTTTGTCTGTGTGAATTCTAATACCTTTTGCCATGGCACCACATTACAACACTACAAAAAGTGCTGGAGGTGTTGTTCTATCCAGAGTGGCTGCGGTGGCTGGCAAACAAAGCAGGTTCTGTTGCAAGAGAAGTTGTGTTGCAAAACACCCATGCAGCATCAGAATATTAATATTTTGGAACAGATGCCTTTTTGTTGCAATTGCTTCTTATTTCAAGTGAGAAAGTAGCTTTTGCAAGAGGAAAATAACCTAATTTCTGTGTGCAGTGGCCGATGAATCTGTTTTGATAACACACAACATATAAGAAATGAACATAGGCGTAGATCTTACAAGAACTTTTCTGAGATGGATGTGCAGCTGCAGATGTTTAGAAATCACTTTTGATTGAATTGTTATGATGCAGCATGGCTCCAGATTAGTACAGATCCATGACACGAGAAAAAAGACAAACTGAAATGAACTGATGAACTGGTGTAGGCTATCTGATTTAGCATGTGAGTAGCAGCAAAACACCAGATGAAAGAAATGATTTGTGAACCAATAAGGAAACGTAAATCTTCAAAATACTCATTCCAAAGTATATATGTAGTAATGTATATGTAAATCAGGGCATGAGAAGATGAACAGTCCAAAAGACCAAACATTTATTCTCACTTAAAAGGCACAAAAGACGTAGGAGAAATGATTCTGGGTGGATTAGATTTCTGGCCAACATAGTACATCTGTTTTTAGATACAGCATGGAAACAGATAATGAGCCTGCTTTCAGTATATGGACTGAAACAGAGATGCAATATGTGCTAAATGTGGAAATGAGGTAGAAAATATCATTCTTTGGGCGAGTGACTTATTACTTTAAGACATAATCAGGAGACGTGTCTTCACTGTTGCACCGTGGAAGCACTAGAAGCTTCATTACAGGAAAATGTTTGTCTAATCATGTTTCTCTTTTCCAGTCCTGCTGCTTGTGTGTGCACACAGTGAGTGTAAATATCAGAACGAAAATAGATGCATTTAAAAATCAATAAAAACTAGAGTAGATCTGTGTAAATATATGAATCTAATAAGAGGCAACAAAATGGCTGGGAGTCGTATTGGTTACACTGTGACTGAACTTCATGCATCCTTTTTTAATACATCTCACATTAACCTCAGTAAAATTGTTCATGTATAGAGCAGTATTTTGAGTGGGGTGAGTCATTAGCAGCAGGTCGAGGCTAAGCAGCTGTTAGTGTTTGTCATACAAACTGTAACACAGCTCATTCAGCTTAAATGTGGGACAGTAACCTGGGAAGACCTCCTGTGAAAGACGACAAACAGGAAGTGGAAAAGGCCTTTATTTAAACCGATGCACTGAGAAATCCTGACTATGTGGGTTAACATGTACCATAGATGTCTATGGAGTCATCATGGCTGTAAAATGGGGATCGACTCGGAGGGAGACGTGTTCGTCCACTCTGCCTTGGACACAGTGCTCCGTCTGTCCTGCAGGGCCGAGCCTCAGCGCAGCACCCACAGGCCTGCCCTCGTGTCCAGAAGAGTCTTGGATTTGTCCCAGAGCCTGGGAGTTCAAGGACGAGTGCAGGGGAAAAACAATAGCGGCCATGGAAGAGAGATGTGGGACACAAACACGGGAGAGATCCTTGAACCCCGGCAGGAATGTCAATCTAGACCAAGACACCCACTGAGAGAGGCAGCTGAACATCTGTTCGCTGCTGGAGAGAGAAAGAAAGCCTTCTTCTGTTCTGTCGCATGTAGCCTGTAGATCATAACCACAGGAGACATTTAGTTTTACAGTCATTTGTTCAAACTGTTTTTATGACTTCTACGACCTCAAGGTCCCAGAATTATGTTGATACTATCACAACTTCATCAACAAAGACATTTACAAACCCCTTCAGATAAACGGAGTTCAAGATTGGCATTAGTTTTGATTACTTTTCAAGACCAGTACTGATAAACGGATCACACCAGCAGCACAAATCAAAACATAAGAGTTAAATAGAGGTAAAGGTCACATTTCATTGTCTGCACAGGATCCCCCCAAGAATGTTGAGACCTTACTGCACCAGGGCGGGCTGGTGCAGCCACCACCACCGGGTCCCGACACCATCTTGACATCAACTTGAATCCAAGCTGTTATGATAAATTAAATTAACAGTACATGTTGCTCTGGTCCCAATCCTGTGTTTTGTTTTGAACTTCCCAAATTCCATATCTGATCCACTTGGATAGGGATTTCAGGTTTTGAACTCCTGGGCTCAGATGATGAATAACTTCTGACACAGTTTACTGTGTATCAGTAACCTTAAAGTCCTGCTTGTCTGCTTTATCTGCAGTATCTACGGTGGCAGGTTTGGATCCACATTCGTGCAGGTGTACCCGGAGAGGAACAACTATTGAAAGCAGTGACCCCATTTGTCAATATAGTGAAATATGTTGAAGTCGTCCTTCAGTCTGACCATGAAAGCTGCGGTTATGCAGAAACAGAATGTTGGTTTTCCTTTCACTGACAGATTTTCTTCCACTGAAGAAACACGCAATTTTTGTGTATTTCTTTTGGGATAACAGTGACTTGAGGTGATACAGGGACATTTGAGTGTAGCTCAAGTTTTGTTCCACTAATTGTCAGCGGGAGTGAGAAGCCTTTGTGTTGCTGTGTCTTTGTCGCCCTGGATGACCTCGTTGTATCGCATCCAGCCCATGTAGCCTATAGATGACATCAGAGCTGCTCAGCAGCTGATGTCACCATCCTGTGGGTGCTCCTGCCAAGAAAACATTAGGCACTTCCTCCTTTGCATGACCTAATTGTCTCACTTTATATTTTGTATTATATAAGTTATAACAAAGAACAGAACGGTGCCTCTAAAGTTAACACATTCAGAAACTTGATGTCCTGCTGATTTTCTGAGGCATTTAGTATCTTTAACTTGTTTTAAAATTCCCATTGTTTGAACTAGTAGGATCAGCTGTAAGATGTGAATGGGCTTTCCCCCCTTAGTGTGTCCTCACAGCGATGCCTTTGGCTGGTAAACAACTTAATGCAAATGTCTTGGTGGTCAGAAGCCAATGATTCCATCAACATTTGGCAGGAGCGGACACTCAGGGCTCGAGCATAATGCGATCATTTGTTTAGCATCTTAACAATATCATGCTCTCTTGTTTCAACCCGAGGGCCGGCGGATATTTGTGATCCACAGCCGCTGTGGAGAAGACTGTTGCAAAGAGGAGAGCGAGACAGGAATGAGAAGAAGGAAATATAATGTTGATCTTTAGTCGTTTTCTGTTAGTGATTTTATGGCACTGGTTGTGCGAAACAAAAGCATGGATCAACACATCCATCACTGTCCTGTACCAGCACAGTTCTGAAACACAGTGCAGCCTTGAGGCTTTTATAATAGTACAACTTTGATTTGATTTATTTATTCTTTCAAGCATGTAAAGACAGTTGATATATCAACACACATAATTATACACATATCCAACAAATGCTAATCCAATATCAATTTCCTTATACCTAGTACATGCTTGAATGGAGTAGGAAGAAGTCAGACTTATCCAGTCCTACCCCATGACATCTTGGCAATATTTAAAATTGTCATGCCAAGAAGATTTCACAGATTTCAGTCGACATGTTGCGAGGCTCATCTGAAGTGTAGGTGGAAGTGTTGGGCCACCTGTCTGTTTTCATTAATTCTAACACAACAAACGTGTAATGTCCTGGCATTTACAGCCACTCTGTAAATGTTTAAGTGGTGAAAAGAGATTCAGGTGTATATCAAAAGAACAGCTTTGGGAAAAACATCTTTAAACATAATTTTCATGTAGTAGCATTTAAAAAAAAAAGAGTGCAGCTGCACAATGTTCACAAAATTAGAAGACTTCCCTTCAGAGGCAGAAACGTCTCAAATAGGACAATTCTGTAAATGCTCATGTAAAAACATTTGTATTAGTGTCTTAATGTGGACGCAGACTTTTAAACCCCATACCCCTTATTTATTCACCGTCATTTCTGAAATCACACTATGGCCTTCACATGTGGGAATTTTGCAGCAGAAGGTGTTTGGCATTTGGACCTGGACCTGATGTGTCTGAGAATGTCCTGAGCACAACTTCACTTTAATTCTTTATAAACCAACGTGTTACTTTGTGTCACATGTTTTTCAGAATGTGGAACAGCTTCAGCCTGCATTTACTTCAGTGTACTGGACAACTCCCACTGTGTGTGACTGTGCTGAAGTGACTCTGAGCACACACACTTCCATCACATTTATTTGAGTAAATAACAGCCTAAGAAGACATTGCCCGTGGCTCTAGACATTTGATAAAGCACCTGTTTGTCTTGGCACCTGGCACAGGGTCACATAAGGAAGATGAATCTCGTTGTGATGACATGAGTGCAGAAGCAAACCTCCCTCACTCCCTCTGCTGTCAGTGTGAGGAACTGCATGTTGTGAGAGACGGATTATGACACAATGGACCCCTGGGCACACACATGTAAAAGGCCCCCCACCCTCCTACATGCAACAAATACACCCAGACTAGACACATTTTGTTTATTTTTCTTTTTGCATGCTTTTAAGAATGTTTTAGATATCTCTATCATCATTAAAGCAGTTGCTTTGCATATCTTTGAGGACATTTTGCATCTTTGTGCTCATTTTGCTCACTTTGTGGTTGTTTTTTTTCTCCTCGCAGTTGTTTATTGTTTCTCTGAAGATATTTTGCCTCACTTTGTGGTTGTTTTGTGTCTCATTTTGACCATTGTTTTGGTTAGACATTGAAGAAACATTCTCAGTTTTTTACCCTATCGGGTAACAAACATAAGGGTGATCTGCGCTGCTTCAGTCTATTTCTACAAATTCCTGTGGTAACTTCAATTTATTAGGAAAATACAGGCACATGAAATAGTGTTACTGGCTACCCTACTGAAGAGATGGAATAATCATCTCCACAGATTCATCTATAAATCTATACTGTCAAAGCTACCCAACGATCATCGGTTTCATCGGAGATGGCTACGAGTCGGCCTACAGATAGGAGGTTGAACAGCTGGCCGCTGGTTGAACAGCACTTTTTGTTCTCTCAGTCTTATCTTGTTTACTTTTGTTTGCTATATGCACACGCACACTGAGAGCCACTGTACCAGAGTCAAACTTCTCATGTGTCCAACACACCGGGCAAAAAAAAGCCGATTCTGATTCTACCGAACTGCCTCATCTTCTTTCTCTCATTTAAGTTCTGTAACAATCCAGGAACTATTTAACGTATCCCAAATGAATGTACCAACCTTAATCGGGTTCTGCTCTAGGCTTTAGTCTTTAATGAGACTGACCAGCGAGTCGCCCGCAGACCTTCCCCTTGAAGGTTTGTAATCTGTTTTTATAACTTAAAGTATAACTGTTTTTATTAATTCTACAGTGTCTTTCACTCTGGCTGTCTGTAGACGTGTTGTTGTGCGCTGGTTGTGTGGTTGTCTGGCTCTGAATGTTTCTTCAAGTCTGTTGAAGGAGAGTCTGTGCTCAGTTTGACAATCTGAATAAATACATTTACTAAAATGATAGCTAAGCTGTTGGATGGCAATTACTGGATGCTGTGTTTCATTGTTTTTGTGGTGTTTTGTCTCTTGCCCATTGGGGAGGTCTGCAGGGGACACTTACCAGGAACATAGTACCAGCCACACACCCTTTGATCCTTTACCAGTTTTAGATTGTGGCCTATAATCACATCAGTGTTTTCATTGGCTGAGATGTATGTGATTATTTGTTAGTTAGTTAGTTTTTTCTTACAATTTTTTAACATGATACCATTTACAGGCCACAAGCCAAACTGCATTAGTCTAAATATAAAGATGTTTTGCATACTGCAAGGGTTGCTAGTTTTGACCTCTTTGGGTGGCAAATACAGCACAGATATGAATATATTTTATTTTATTTTTTACATTTTAGGTTATATAGGTACACAGGAACTGAAAGTCAAATGAGCAGAGCAGTCTAGAAGCTTCAGGTTTATACAACAGACCTTCACTCACCTTAAATGAAATGTTTTCGCCAAATCAACAGGCAATAATCAGTTAAATTAGACACAATCAAGAACTAATTAGGCATCATTAATTAAATGTGATGACAGTTTTCTTTATTAATGTTGTAAGATGTCCATATTATGTGCATTTCATGTCTATAATCCACCATAGCTGAGGGAATACAGCCTATTTTTTCTTTTTTGTGAAAAAATGAGATGATAATGGTTTGAGAAATAAACTAAATCTAAACATTAGAGACTCCACATTGTAAAATAAATCAAGTATATTCAACACAAAAATGTTTTTACAGAATTATGTTTGAAAATTGTTGTTAAAATTAAAGTAACACATCAGTTTACAGACACTGACCGCTGATGCTGGTTTGAACATGAAGCGTAACAAACTTTGAGTGGCTGCATCTCCCAGACTCATAGGTAACTAGAAAATGAAGGTGACTCTGCCCAACAATGGAACAAACACTCTGATCTGTTAAAGCTAAATCAAATGGTAGTGTGTGGCTCTCAGTTATTTAGCAGGCAGGGTAAGTCCAATTCAAATTATTGGGGTAAACGGATGCTGTTGCCGTGGTCTCGTCTCATGGCTCAGTGTCATGGTAACAACAGGTCTGAGCTAAAGGGATCGCCACCTGAGGGGAGGAGCAGCTGGGTCCAGAGCAGCGGATCTCCGTGTGTCTCTAACAAGGCTGGTGAAGAAAATCACAGAGGTGGGCTGGAGGTGCTGCTTTATGATATCATGATATTACTGTGAATCAAAGCTGAGACACAAACTGAGGAGAAGGCTTCAAACATCACACCATCACTTCACCTCTTTATCTTATTTTAACCCTGGCAGTTGCAACAAAAGCAGAACTCTTTGTCAGGTCAGTTTAATTGCTGCAGCACTAAGTCTCATGGGGCTTCACAGTTGTACAACACACCTTCTGTCCTTAGACCCCTGATTAAAGTTGTGGGCAGGACAGCTCAGCCATGAGCTGAAGCTCCGCAGAGCAGAGGGAAGCTGCATTGTTTTTCATTCACTTTGTTTAGATTAGTTCACATTCGAATGCACAGTTTCCTGATAGGGAAAAGGATTTGTTTTCAATTAAACACCAAATTGTTTCTTGAGCTTGTATCACATGACACACATCCTATGGTAATAGCACAGCTGTCCGGGAAAGATGAGTCTCAGGACAGTTTACTCTCTCTGTTTTCTTCGTACAGATATCAGATGTCAAATATCTGCAGAAATGACAGATATATTTCTTGGAAATTAGCTGCCTTAAAACTTCACTGTGCCTTTCTTCTTCCCAGCAGAAACAGGGATAACATCTCGGTCGATGGAGTAAAGAGTCACCATGGAAACTTCAGGCTGCTTCAGGACACGAACTGAGACACCCATTACAAAACAAATGCCAAGCTCCCAAAATTATAATAACCCCCGTAATAAAAATGTGGCATAATGACAGCTATTATTCTTCAAAAACAGCTAAGTGGGAGTATTGGGCACAGACACCCTAACTGTCTTCATCATAATCCTTTGGATTATGGAGATGGTGGTGATGACACTGACGAAAAGCTGCCTTGTTGATTTCACCCTGTTAGTGCCAGTAGTTCTATCAGGCATATAAACAATAAAAACTTCAGATGTGTACAAACATCTGAGGGCACGATAACATCAGTTTCTGTTCTCAGGTTACATAGCATGTGCATCATCTCTGTCATCATTTCCAGATGGTTATCCCCGAGCAGATCTCTCTGTCCGACCCTCACACGCTCGTGTAATGATAATACAGCTGTTCCTTGACCTGGTCCGAGCAGGTCAACAACAGAGAGAGAGAACGCGGTGAAATGTTTCTTTCACTTGCACTCAGAGGGCAGTTTATTAGGTACACCCACAGTAGGCAACACTAATGCAGTCCTCCCTCATGTTCTGTTGACAGAGAGATGTAGACTCACATGTCAGATCATTTTGAAGACAGTTGAACTGCTCTGCAGAGGTATTTTAACTAAGTAAGAGAAACATCTCAAAATAGAAACTCATCCACAACAAGAAAAGTGATGTTGAAGTCACACTATAGGACATTTGACAAAATATTATATACATGTATATGATGATTGTTTGTCTGGAGAAAGGCCCTGAAATTGTAATTAATAAAGAAACTTTGCAGAGGGAAATTTTGAAAATAATTATGCATAATAGTAAAAACAAGTTCACGATGAATACATTAGTGATGCAGACAGTGAAACGTGACTGATCCGGGAACAAGAGTCTGCAGGAATAAGAGTCTCAGAGCAGCAGAATTCATTTTCCTGCTACACAATATCCATGAACCTCATCGCACCCTCATGCATACTGGATGTCAAATAAAGCCTACATGTAATGACTGACAATGTGGCATACATTTATTTTTGACACAGTTTCCGTTTTATATGAAATGCCAGAATGTCTACTACAGTATATGTGAATATATGGCACATTATACATTATGAATAAAAATATATTTGCCTGTAATAGGAGCTACAGTATGTGTACGTGCCTTTATTTGTGCTTTTAGTTTACTGACTTGTTTTAATAGGGTGAAGCTGACGGGCTTGTTAATATGAATCGATAAAGCAGTGCATCAGAAGATTTCTCTACTCCCACTTCACTGGTTCAGGTCAGAGCAGACGAAAGGTATTGGTGGGATTGGCCGCCACAGCATAGTGACGTTACACAGGAAGGCAGGGAGCATGTATGCATGAGCTCCAGGCCACCCTTTATTCAAGAGTATATCCTTTAACCTTGCCTCATGTGGAGGACATGCTTGTTTACATGCAACTTTTCTACTCTAATTGAAAAAGATGGAGCTACAAGTGAAAAACCAAAGTCAGCCTTTCAACATCAACACCGAGAGGCTGCCGGCTAAACTTATACTAGGCGTGGGTGTAGATAACTTCATTTCGCTTTTGATATTTGGACTCATTTTCCTCCTTGGCGTGCTCGGGAACGGCATGGTGATGACGGTGCTGGCGTGCAGTAAACCTGCACAATCAAGGAGCACAACCAACATCTTCATCCTCAACCTGAGCGTGGCGGACCTGTCCTACCTCCTCTTCTGCGTCCCCTTCCAGTCCACCATCTACATGTTGCCCACATGGGTGCTTGGAGCTTTCATCTGCAAGTTCATCCACTATTTCTTCACAGTGTCTATGCTTGTCAGCATATTCACTCTGTCGGCGATGTCCGTGGACCGCTATGTGGCCATCGTCCACGCCAGGAAATCCTCGTCGATCCGCGTGAGGAGGCATGCCATGCTCGGGGTGCTGCTGATCTGGATCCTCTCCATGGTCATGGCATCTCCGGTGGCGCACTACCAGAGCATCGTGGAGAGGGAGGACAACAACACCTTCTGCTGGGAGGTCTGGCCGGATCACCAGAGGAAAGTCTACGTGATGTGCACCTTTGTTTTCGGATACCTCCTGCCTCTCACCTTGATATCTGTCTGCTATGCAAAGGTGCGTGCGCATGAATCAGATTCATGAATACGCATAAAACTACAGTGAGGATGAGTTATGTTACAGTTTGGAACATATTACGCAGCAGATTTAAATGTCAGCAGGCGCTGTCGCTTCACAGCAAGAAGGTTCTGGGTTCGAGTCCTTTCTGCACTCCGGCTTCCTCCCACAGTCCACGTTGATTGGCGACTCTAAATTTCCCCTTGCAGTGAGTGTAGGTGTGCGTGGTTGTCTAAGTGTGAGCCCTGTGATAGACTGGCGACCTGTCCGGGGTGGACCCCGGCTCTCCCTCAGTGGCTCCAACCCCATTTAAAAATTTCAGCAACAGTATTTTGGAACTGACAAATGTTCACTGAAACATCATCTGTTCAGGAAGCTGACATGAATCTGGATTGTATCCTTAACATGCAAAAGAGTCAGTAATTCTGATGAGAGGGTGGATTGATCAGTTATGTCACATTCAAAGTTTATAGGTTCTCTAAAATTAAAAGAATTGGAGAAACAAAGACAACAAATTTATGCTTTATCATCCCTTTATTATTGCAGGTTTTAAACCATCTGCACAAAAAGTTGAAGAATGTGTCCAAAAAATCAGAGCTCTCCAAAAAGAAGGTTGGTTGGTTTGTTCTCTCTATATGTGATAGCACACTATAGGTTATGGTGATGATGTAACTGCTGAAGTGGCCATGCTTCCCTGATTACTCCTTTAATGGTTGATGGTTTATGGATGGGTCCGGCCTGTGATGTAGGGGTGCTTGAAAGTGTGCACAATGCTCACTTTAAAAAAATGGCTGCACACTGTAGTCTTGCATGTTTCCTGCCCTATAGCAATTTACTTTTCTAATGGTGATTGTAAGTGAAGTCTAGCCAGTAAAAACTGTTCCCTTTGTGTCATCTGGCTCTTTTTATTTTATTTGATCAGGTCACATTACCCATCATTACCTCCTGTCTGCCCTCCTCCACAGGCTGCCCAGTTACAGTTCTATTTGATCATGTGACATTTTATATGACCCATCATTATGTCTTGTCCCCGCTCCGCAGACTACACAGACAGTCTTGGTGGTGGTTGTGGTCTTCTGTCTGTCCTGGTTGCCTCACCACATCATCCACCTGTGGGTGGAGTTTGGCTCTTTTCCCCTGAACCAGGCCTCCTTTGTGTTCAGGATGGTGGCTCACTGCTTGGCTTACAGCAACTCCTCCATCAACCCCATCATCTACGCCTTCCTGTCCGAGAATTTCAGGAACTCCTACAAGCAGGTGTTCTCGTGCCGGGTGCCCAGCGAGTGTCCCCTGAATGACACCAGAGACCTGCGCAGCAAGATGGAGACGGTACCATCCGTGAACATCAGTGCCACGTACAAAGGTCATGACTTTCACATCAGTAAAATGCTTTAATGTCTGTGCTGAGGCTGAGAGCACCTTCTGCGGTCTGTATAAAGTCTGACTGATGCTGGGTTTGTGAGGATGCTGTCTGAAAGTGCAAAAAATCTGATAGTGAAATGTAAGCTGCTGTTCTGTGGCGGCTATTCCTCATTTCACGCCACTTTTCAATGTAGGTTTTCATGAAGTAGTTAATGTCAGGAAATATTGTCCTGCTCAGTCAAACCACAAGAGGAGGCAAACATCAACTGTCCATACAGTGCATGATTGTTTTATAGCCTGGCAGGTACCAAGGTAAATTTGTTGATAGCTCAGGTACATGAATAACTATTTAGGATTAAAGGAATAGTTCAACATACACTTATTTGCTTTTGCCCACAGTTAGATGATTTGATTATGACTGATCAATGCCATTTTCAAAATAAGACGCTACAGCCAGCAGTTGTTAGCTTAGCCTAGCACTAATAATAATAATAATAATCTTTATTTGGCCAAGTATGTTAAACACAAGGAATTTGTTTCTGGTACAGAACTGAGGCAGCCATCTGCGGCACCAACTCAACCGATGGCTCTAACCATCGGGGGCAACGGGGGGTTCAGTGTTTTGCGCAAGGACACTTCGACATGTGGACTGCAGGCACTGAGATTCAAACCTCCAACCCTCCGGTTGGGAGACGACTGCTCTACCCACTGAACCACAGTCGCCCCTAAAAATACTAAAAACAGGAGGAAACAGCTGAACTGGCTCTGTCCAGTGGTAACAAAATTCATCCTATCAGCACCTTTAAAGCTCACTAGCTATGTTATTCGTTAATCCATACAAAAGCTTTTTAAAATGACAGTTTTCCAGATATGTGCCAGATAGTTTTTTGGACCCAGATCACTTAACAGGTAGGAAGTTCCTGATCCTAACATCAACCGCACGGTGTTCTCTCCGTCCTGCTGTAGACATCTCAAAAAACCACAGCCCCTCCACTTGCATTTTGTGTCAAGCTGTGATGGGAAATGATGTTTGATAAAAGCTGCTAAAACATAAATACTCTATAAAAATTATATTAGATTGTTCAAAAATGAAAAAAGGTTCTTAATTAAACGTATGGTGAAAGCCATGGGACAGACTGTGCTACAGGGATGGATTTTTTGTGGAAGGAACAACTTCTGAAGTAACTTGTAAATAGTAGTCGATGTAGCTGCAGCAAAGTTC